ATGAGGCAACAACGCTGGATAGAGTTACTCAAGAACTATGACTGTGAGATACTTTACCACCCTGGTAAAGCAAATGTTGTTTCTGACGCTCTCAGTCGGAAGGTAAACCTTGAAAAGAAAAGGCCAAGGGCATTCAGAATTGAAACTGTCTCGACTACTGTGGAAAGTATAAAGAAAGCTCAAGAGGAAGCTTTAGAGAAAAATGACCGAAAGGAAGAACATTTGGGCAAAACATTAGTATTTGGTACAACCAACCAAGGGTTGACGGTATTCCAAGATAGGATTTGGGTACCTAAGACGGGCGGAGTAAGAGATCTTTTGATGGAATAAGCTCACAAGACCATGTACTTGATTCATCCCGGAAGTACAAAAATGTATAAGGATCTAAAATCCTATTATTGGTGGCCGACGATGAAGCTCGATGTTGCTAAGTATGTGGCCGAGTGTGTAACTTGTGTTAGGTTTAAGGCACAACATCAGAAACCATATGGGAGTTTAGAACCTTTACCCGTACCCATGGGTAAATGGGAAGACATCACCAATGATTTCGTGACTAAACTGCCCAGAACAAGGAACGGTCGCGACATGATTTGGGTGGTCATTGATCGCTTCACTAAGAGTGCGCATTTCATAGATGCCAACGAGAAATGGTCTATGGATAAACTTGCGAATTCTTACGTGAAGGAAATTGTGAGGCTTCACGGTATTCCATTAACGATTGTATCCAATCGTGACAGCCGTTTTACCTCAAGGTTTTGGAGGAGTCTACAAGAGGAATTGGGTACCAAGTTGTGTTTAAGTACAGCTTACCATCCGCAAACCAATGGTCAGAGTGAGCGAACAATTCAAACATTGGAGGATATGCTGAGAGCATGTACCCTAGAATTCCAAGGTAACTTGGATGAACACTTACCTCTAGTAGAATTCTCCTATAATAATAGTTTCCACTCAAGCATTAATATGGCACCTTATCACGCTTTGTATGGAGAAAAGTGTTGAATGCCATCATGTTAGCTGGAAGCTAGGGAAAAGCAGTTTATGGGACCTGAAATAGTCTATCAGACTTCTGAAAAGTTGAAAGTGATAAGGGAAAGGATGTTATTTGCTCAAGATCGACAAGAGTTATGCTAACAAGAAAATACAATCGATAACCTTTGAAGTTGGAGATTCAGTTTTACTTAAAGTCTCGCCGTGGAAGGGACTTATAAGATTTGGTAAAAGAGGAAAGTTGAGTCCAAGGTTTATTGGACCATTTAAAGTTCTTCAGAAGATCGGGAATCAAGCTTACAAGCTAGAATTACCGGAAGAACTGGAAGGTATTGATAACACCTTTTATGTGTGTTATTTGAGAAAGTTCACGGGAGATGTGCCCGATATAATTCCGATTTCTGAGTTAGAGTTGGATGAAAACAAGAGGTTGATCGATGAACCTGAGGCAATCGTTGACTGTAAGACTATGAAGCTGAGACGCAAGATGGTCGATTTAGTGCTTGTGCGTTGGAAACATACAAATGGGCCAAATCTCACTTGGGAAACGGAGAGTGACATGATGAGTCGCTACCCGCAGTTGTTTGGTGATATGTGATTCCGGGGGCAGAATCATTCTAAAGGGGAGAGAATTGTAACACTCGTGTTTCTAGCCTAGGCTTTTATATTGAGGTGATAGTCTAGGTTAACCTTTGTAACTCATTTTAAAGAATTGAAAAGGAATTATGTGAATATTATGTGAATTATGTGTTTTAGGATTAATTATTAGGGTTTAATTAATTAAGAATAAAAATAAGCATCAAAATTAAAGTGTGAGATAAGCCCGATATCTTTACATAAAGTTGTACTGGTCGAAACAAGGATTTTGGGGATCTAAAGAATACCAAAATCTGAGTTATAACGAAGAAGTTATAACCTGTCGAAGTTTCACGACAAAACCAGCACGGTGCTGAATGTCGTAAAAAGTGAGTTTTTGATAAACTACTTCTTAGCCTTAGTGATCTAAACAAAATTCGTAGTATTCGTTAAACCGAGAAGTTCGATAAAAAGAACGCCCAAATCTGACTTTGTATGAGGAAGTTATGATTTTTCGAAGTTTTAGCTTAGCAGTAGACAACTAAAAACTCGAATTTTAGATCGAGCGATTTTTAGCCGATACAACCTAAACGAGAATCGAAGGTCTCGTCATTAGTAGTACAACGGTAAAAAGTCTGACGAAAACGAACGTCGGATAAAGAAATTATGAAATTTTAACGGATTTTCTTTTCCCAGTCTGTTAAAATAATAATATAAACATTAAAGTTAAAATTAGCCGACGAAGTCTAAACGAAAGTTGTAGAGCATAATTTTACCTATATGTGTATATAAAGAACGTCAAAAACGGAGCACGTGTGCGAAAGTTATAGATTTTAGAAGTTTTTGCACAAAAACCGAGAAAATCGCATAGTCACGTTTTTGCCACGTGTCCTCACCTCGCATGTGCCACGTGTCCAAAATTCTGATGAGTCATCCAAGCTGCTGAGTCATCCGAAGTGGTCCAGTGAGAATCCAACGCATGTCCTCTTCCTCGTGTCCGAAGCCTTCGTATGATGATACGACCCCCCTACTTCGGACCTAGACCTCGGCCCAGTAAGAAGAGGACAGCAAGCCTTCGCAGGTGCGAGCCATGTGCAAGCCCTCCCCTGCGAGCCTCGGATCTTCACCACCTGGAGGCTTCTCAGCCGTCTGATCAGCAGCTCGTAGCCTATAAATATGAGGTGCGAACCCTCCCGGCTAGAATTTAGAAATTGGCAATTTTGGCCCCTTTTCACTATTTTGGCTATTTTCACATCCCCCGAAGCCTCGATACTTATTCCAAAGCCCGAAATACTCCACGAAGTGCCCGAGAAGCCAAGAAAATTTATCTTTTCGGTTTCGAAGCCCGACCTTCGCAAAGCCCGGTTTCTCAATAAAACTCTCGGTTTTATTAGAAACGATCATTTTACGTAACGAATTGCTACCCGATTATCATCAAATCATGTGAGTGTATAGTCACTTTCATCTTACACATAGATATGAAGTATTTTATATAAATACGTGCTATGTGTGTGTGTGTGTGTGTGTATATATATATATATTATGTTTATTTGAGACAATTGTTCAATTGATGTTTTATACAAGTTTTAAACTGTATATGCATTTTTATCTACAAATATGTTGGGTAAAACATGGGTAGATAGTGATGTGTGATAAAATAAAAGTAATGAGAGGCCTCGATGTGATTTGAGATCCAGTCATCTAGCGGAGTTTAGATGACGACCACGGACTTTCTAGGCAGTCTAGTGGAACACTGGCAGACCCGCAACTTGTAAGTGTAATGAACTAAGAGTGTTCATTCGATGTACTCCATCCCCCTCATGGTTGCCTTTAGGACATGTATGGCTGAGGAAACCCCTTAGCAGTAGTGTCCATCCCGATGATATTCTTTAGGCTAGGTCCCTTGTGATAAGTGTTTAGGGACGTAAAGTAAGGATAACGGAAATAGGTAATCAGGGTTATTGTTGATTGATTAACTTAATAAGTTTATTATTATTGTGGGTTGAAAACCCTATATGCTCACCAGGCTCCCAAGCCTGACCCCCTCAGTTTTTTATGTTACAGGTAGTGGACCCCGAGCATAGTCGGAGGACGACGAGAGATTTTTGGATTATAGGTCAGTAGTTGTAACTAATTGTTGAAAGGCTTATAACGTCTTGTTTATGCTTTTGATCTGTATCGGAACATGACATCCCGAGGTTTTGATATGAAATGAAACTATACATTTCTTAAAGAAAGGTTTTGCTAAACTTTTATCATGTTTTGTTTTGGGGACTAATTCCGCAACATCTTTTAAAAGGATTTCTCTGATTTTATTTTAAAAAGCATAAATTAAATCGATCTTTTCTGGGCGAGAAATTAGGGGATGTCACAATATATAAATATTATATATTATAAATAATAGTTTTTAATATATGAGAATCCAATAATAAAGATTTAATCAATAAAAAAGAAATTTAAAAAATATTCAAAAGAAATTAATAAGTTAATTAAATAATATTTAATGCATAGATATTATATATTAAAAATAATATTTATTAATATATAATAATCCATTAAAGAAGTAGTAATACAATAAAAATGAAATTAAAAAATTATTTAATAGAAATTAATAATCTAAGAAAGAAAGAGACGATGTTTTAGATATAGTTGTCTTTCCAGCTCATTCAACCAGAAATGGTTTTGGGGTTTTCTTGGAAAAAAAATATCTTACTGGAAAAAACCTCATTTTTGTGTAAATCAAACAATATTTCCGGTACCTTCAGCCAGAAAGATCTGTATGGATCCAGAAAAATATCTATCAAACGGGACCTTACTCTTTAAACCTTAAAATTTTTGTTATTGTTCAAAAATATAATGCGAAAAAAAATTGTTATATCTTTCGGCTTGTAATCGTGCCTTAAAAATATTTTCATTCAACTTAAAATCAAGCATTGAAGATCACGGCTCATACAGAATCACATCGTAATCCATTCACCTTAAATTTTAAAAAAAAAAATAGTAATAAAAAAAAAAAAAACATGACATATATGTTAATATGATCTTCCGATCGAGATCCAATCATAAAGCGATTATATATAACGATCTTCACAAACTTTATTTGATTCATTCTTATAATTATATTTCTTATTTAGTTATAAATTTATAGCAAAGATTCTTATAAATGAAAATCTAAAAATATTTTTTCTTAAAGAAAAACGGGTTCATTACTTGGAATTTTTGGTTATTTGTTTATTTTGGTCATCAAGAAAATGCTTCTTTTTTAGGATTTGTTTATATTAACTTTAAGTAAATGCATCATAATTCATAGTTATCATATTTAAAACATAAGAAGCCTCAAAGTCTCTTCTCTATCTCACTTTCACTCTCGATTATCTTATCTATATTATTAGACTTATTTATAATTTACCATCTATAATCAACATGATTATGTTTGATTAAGAGGAGGAAGACGATCCATTAGCGCCGATAGCAGTGCCAATGTGGTCGCGGTGGTTCTGGTCGTTGTTTCTTCTGTTTCCTGGGTTGCCATTAATGTTTTTGTGGTTGTGCATCCAAACCTTGAAAACGCTTTTAGTAATCCCAATGTGCTTGCAAAATCCGACGATCATCTCTTCTTCTGTCTTCAGCATCTTCCATCCGATTCTTTCCGCAAATTCCTGCATCTTTTCCTTCTGATATTCTGAAAATTTTGTCCTGAATCGTTTTTTTCCCTTTGGGTTTGACCCGCTAGCCACAGCATGGGTGAGTATCGACGGGCGGTTGATGTTGGCTGGTTCTGCTGGTGGTAAGCCTGGATTAAGGGTTAGGAACATATGTGGTGGTGCTGGGTAGTAGGATGATGAAATTGGTGAGGGAGATTGGGTTTCCTGAGTGCTGCTGCTCTTTGTTATGGTCGCGAGACGGGAAGATGGTGGTGTTGGCAGGCGGTGATGGTGTTGTTGGTGTTGGTGTTGGTGGTTGCATTGGCACTCGATGACTGGAGGCATGGGTTGGTGTAAAGGATCGGCTTCGATGCGGTGGAAGCTGCGGTGGCAGCCGCATGCAGCGCATTCTAGGGATGTGGTGTTGGGTGAGAGCATGAACTCTCCACATCCGTCCAGAATCTGGCCACCATTGCTGGCAGCGTAATTCTTGAGGCATTTTCCGTAACATATCGGGAGTGGTGGCGGGGGTTGGTGGCGATTGAGTACACCGTTGCTTAAGGGTGGTGCCGGTTGGTTTCCCGTTCTATTAGATTGGAGCCAAGTAGGTCTCTCGCTTTCAGAACCACGGGCTCTGACGGTTGCGGTGGTCGGCGGTGGTTGTGGGGGTAGGTCCATTGTGGTTTGGGTGCTTGTGGTTTGGGTTGGGGTTGGAGTAGGTTTTATTTATGGGAAAGTAAATCCTTACTTTATAGTAGTAAATGAGGTTTAAACACAAAGAAACAAAATAGATGATTGAATTTTAGTATGTATTCATTAAATTCGGTTTGTTAAAATTTATTGAGATATAATATTTGAATATAAGTATGAATACAATGTAATAAATATAATATAGATTATAAAATGTTAATTGTTAAATTTGTTCAAGGTGTTAAATGAAAGAGTATTAATGATAAAAAAGAAAATCATTATTCTAACCATATGTAATAAATGAATTTTGAGTTAAAGGCTCATGTTTGGTAAAATAGTCTATATTGCGAAAACAAAATAGTGCCATTTATTGATGTAAACTCAATGATATTATACAAAGATTGTCTAAGATAGTGTAAGGTATTGGAACGAGCAAAACCGAACGGAAAATATAATCAAATTGGAGTCGGAATCGTAATCGGAACCGGAACCGATTGGAATCGATTAGTTGTATTCGGTCTAGTTCTCCTAATTCATCATTTTCGGTTTTTTGTTCTTTTGGTTCCGGTCCGGTTCGGGCCACTACCGAACACCTTCTTAGATAATATATTTCTCTCTAAGAACTAAATCGAACCATTCACTTTTTAAGTTTTTTCGGTTTCAAACCGGTTTGCATTCCAAGATATAGGATTTTACTTTTTTTTTTTAATCGAACTTACATCATAAGATCATACCATAAGTAACTTAAAATATAATATATATATATATATATATATATATATATATATATATATATATATATATATATATATATATATATATATATATATATTTATCAATTATTTAACTATTCAGTTAATCATAAATAACATAAATTTAAAAAAAAAAAAAATCATCATTTAACAATAAACAATTTAAAATGGTTTGTATGGTTCAAATTCAATTCACCTAGGTGTTGTTTGTTTTTACTAAAGAACCACTTCTGACCACTTAGTTGTACCGCGGAGCACTTGGTCCTATGCAGCTGTTTGTTTTATAAAAGACTTCTGACTTAAAAACTGTTGCGTGTGTGTTGTGTGGCACAGCACTGGATCATCTGCTTCAAACATCTTCACACCTTAATTTAACTTATTGCAGCAGTCTGTAGGGGTTAAAACAACTGATTTTTTATAACATGATGCTACCATTTGGTCCCCTCTTCTGCTACATATGGTAGTAGAGGTGGTCCGCAGACTTAGGTGTTGTTTGTTTTTTGGAAAAAAAAAACTTTTTCAGACCTTTTATTGCTGTGCGGCGCAGCACATGCACATCACTTTTCATCTCGCAACTATTTGTTTTTTCAGAAGTCTTCGGATTAAAAAACCTCTGCACGTATTCTTCTTGGCGCAGCACTTGTTTTTATCTCTTCCTACCGCTTCCAACCTCTTTTTTTTTCTTGCTAAAATATTGAGTATATATTGTTGAAATCTTATTTCACATTTTTTTTTTCGTTTTTTTGTTTATTCTTGTTGAAATTATTTTTTTATATTAAATAATTATAATTTGTTGATGAAATATCATTATTTTATGCTAAAAATATCTTTAGTTTTTATTAAAATATCATTATTTTTTGCTGAAATATCATTATTTTATGCTAAAAATATCTTTAGTTTTTGTTAAAATATAATTATTTTTTGCTGAAATATCATAATTTTTTGCCGAAATGTCATACATTATTAAATTTTTAGTATTAAAAAACTATTTTCAGATTATAAAATTAGTTTGTTTTAATTTTTTAATATCTGCAGCAGCATGCAGATGTTAAAAAACACAAACACGCTTCTTATTATAGTCTGCAGCCGTTTTGTCTACTTCTTCTACTGTAGAGGGTTACAGAGGTGGTCCGCGGACTTTATAATTTTTGCTTCGAAAAAACAAACGACACCTTAGACATTTTCGCTTTGAAAAAACAAACAACATCTTAGTTTAGACAAAATAGGAAAATTAAGCAATCTAACTATTTGGAGAGAATTACCAAAAAGTTTTGGTTTTGGCAAAAATAATCACCTAGCCTGGAATGGGCATTTCGGATAGAGAAAAATTAGTTTTTTTCTAACAAAATAAATATATTTTAGACTGAGATTTCGGAATTCCAGACCAATATTCTGGATTTCATACTGAAATTTCGTAGATCGAAAAAAAGTCTGCAATCCATTAATTCTCTTTTTTTTTTAATCCCCTCTATTGATTTTGACATTTTTGTTGATCTAGTGACTAGTAAAAGCATCCACATTAGTGAGTTCAATAAGATAGTTAGAATTAGGTAACAAGTCAAGTTGTCATATAATAGATGAAAGTCTACCATTATGAGAAGTCACCTTGACATTCAATGGATTTGAAGTTCAATGAACATTGAACTTTTCAATGGAAAAAATGAAAGTTTTATGCTTCTTAAATAAATACTATTTTTTAAAGTCCTATTAAACTTTGTAAAGTTTAATGAATTATAGAAGAAATTTCATGGAGTTGTATGAAATGTAGAGAAATGATGTGGCAGTCCTCGGAACTTTATGAAATTTAATGTAATGTGAATGTCCTAAGATAGATACGTAGAAAAAGTAAAAGGATATTTGATTTTCATATTATTAACGATATAATATATATTATAAATTAATATTTATTGTAATAAATGTCATTGAATAAAGCTTTAAATAAGAGATATTGATTTTAACGACAAGAAAAACGTTTCTCACGTAATAACCATCTTTTCAAATATATCACGATATGATAAGGTCTTCGAAAAAAATATTTTAGAAAATATATTATCCATTTCGAATGTTCTACAAATTAAGTCTATTGTTTTGGAAGTATTGATTTTCGAAGATGTGTTTATTTCGAAGCAGTTTTGTAACATCCGTTTTCCTAAATTGATCGGACGAAGACTTGAAGATTTCAAAGATAAGGTTTTGGGAAAAACCTTACGCCACGGCATGGTGAAAGATTCACCATGGCATGGCTACGTCATTTAAATGAGGATCGTGTCTGGATGGGCACCATGACGTGGCAAGAGGGTAACCACGATGTAGTGGTTGTTGCGGCCCATGCCCAAGAATTTAGAGTATGTTCCATATTTAAAGGCTCTAACTCATCGTTTAAGTCATTCTCTTCGGTCTCCATTCTCTAAACTCGAAACCTTGGTCTCTGATGTGCAATTTATATACTACCTTGATTTAAATTTATAAACATAACTACTTATCTACTAATGCACCTATAGACGGTATACCTAGTCGGTTTTTAGTATAGTAAAGTAAGTTATGTATCGAACATAGGGAACGAATTTAGTTAATAAAATAATTACTAAAAATTAATATAAAAACAATAATTAAACTGAGGTTTTTATCTGATTTTGCAAGTTCAAATAAGCTTAAAACTAAGTAAACACTCAACTAAAAGCGATTGTAATCAAGATTAAGAAGACACTTCAATTTAGCTTCAAATCCCCCTTTTTCCTATCGTTAATTTCTAAACATGGATTTATTCAGTTGGTTACTAGTATTAATGTAATTAGCAGTCTTGATCTGATCTTCTAACATTTCACCAATTCATGAACTACTATGTAATGATCATACACAAGCAAACACATAATTGAGCTATGTAAGATATGTCTAAGATAATTATCTATAATCAAGATAAATTACCAAACGCAATTATGATTAAATTATGTTCTCTAACACAACTAAAGTTGTTACCTTTATTATTTATTCCAAGATGTGATTAATCCTAGCTCTAGCAATTTAACGATCATAAACTATTAGGTAAACAAGTTCATGCAATTCAATTGGTCCTTAAATTACACTTAACTTGAATCAAGGCAACAAAGATGTAAACTTTAAAGTGCTAGGTAATGATTATCAAACACAAGCATTAACCAACTTCATTAAATCCATATAAAAGCAAGAAACTAATTCATAGTATTAAGGTTCATCAACACTAAATGAAATCCTAATGATTAGTTACTCAGGGCATAAAATAAGCACACAAAAACATAAGAAATTAGAAATGATTAAATCAATGCAAACCAAATGTGATGTGTAACCTTCAAAATCTTTATCTTCAATCTACTTCTCTTCCAAAGGGTTGTTTTTCGCTCTTCTATGGCTTCTAACTTCGAATAATGGTTCCTGAATATCAGATCCAACGTCCTCTAGTCGAATGTATGAAGGAGTATTTATAGTTTCCATAAAACGTATCTCACATCGTGAGAATTAATTTGTCACATCGTGAGATCAGTACAATTCGTGTCTGGTAAGGAAATTGCATTCCACGTAATAATCTTCTAGAAGAATCCTCCTCACAACGTAAAATTATAATGCTCACGTCGTGAGCTCCATTATTGTGCATATCGAGATTTTTTTCTCACCACGCCACGGTATTCTGAAGCCACACCGTTGGATTTGTATTATCATAGTTTTTCTTCCATTTAAGCTTTGTTAAGCTCCCAGCTTCAGCTCCAGTCCTTCCAGATTCCAATATTTTTCGTTTTTGGTCATTTTCCTTCAAGAATGTCTTTTTCGGTTGCAAAATATAATTTAACTCAATAAGTACCAAATATCTTTGTATTTAACCATATATAGCTTAAAATGTATTAAAATAATGCCTAAAAATATGTATAAATATAGCAATATCAAAATACCCCACAGTTGTCTTTTGCTTACCCTCAAGAAAAACTTATCTTGTAATACATAACATAGAACCATGCACACCAATATCACACAAGAAAATCTGTATTGAACCCACTAAGTACGTCTTACTGCAATGCATGTATTTATATCTAAATCTTAATTACCTCCCAACCCTATATACTTACGATCCTCATAGATGTTTCCCATTTATTTTTGAACAACATTCATTTTATGCATCCCTTCTTCATTCCCATAAAAATTTCTTAACCTCAAACTATTTTTGGTTAAGCTCTCGATCATACATATGGTAAAATAACCAAGAAAGAA